ACCTTGAAAACTCAAGTTACTTCCAACAAATAGGATTCTGCCACGTCATCAACTTGACTATCTGGCTTTCCCAGTTTCCAGCAGCCCCCACCATTCTCCTTCCTTTGAGTGGAAAATTTGTTTGGCTGACAAGTCATAAATTATCATAGGAAAAATATTTGGGAACACTAAAAATAGAGTATTAGAAAGAGCATTAATGATATGATAGTGGGTTTCGTTTACTTTTTATGTGTTATTTTATTTTTTTTTCTTCTTTTTTTTTACCATTTTCAATCCATTAGTGCTGTTAATGGTGTATTTTTTAATGGTCTAAGTCTCCGTTTGAGAAGTGGGTTGATTTTTTGACTTTTTGATTTTTTTGACTATTTTAACTTGGGCTAAAAAACTTAGTTTTGGAAGAATTTTTCTAACTTTTTTTTGAAAGAATAATGTAATGATTATGAATTAAATGTGATGTATTATTTATTATGACTAAAATAACTTATTTTATCTTTTGTGACTATTTTAGTCACATGTCAAACACCACCTAAATCATTGTTGATTATCATAGAGATGCAACATCTCCTAGTGGAGGTTTTTTAATTCCACTCTAATAGCGTAGATAAGACTTATGTCAAATAATCTTTTTTTTTTTTTTTTTTTTTTTTTTTTTTTTTTTTTTGTTTAATTCCTCCAATTCTATATTTTGGAGTGAAATTGAGGAAGGATAAAATTAGAGAAATGAATCATTTCTCATATGTTTTTTGTTATTTTTTAATTACTTAACACAAAATTATGAATATTGTGAAAATTTGAAAAGTGATTTGAAAAAAGAAATAGAAAAGATAAGTAAAATATAAATAAAATATATTTATATTTCACCTAATTTCATACATATTTTTTATTTATTTATTTTAAATTTTTCAACCAAACACAACATTATCGTATAGTCTTGTTCTGACCCACCAAATAACGTACTCCTTCGAGTGAGGATAATACTTGCAAGCAAAGGAGGCGTCACATTTCTTTTTTTGGGAAAGTTTCTTCTTCAAGGAAATTTCTTTAGAGGAAGTAGGTAGTGTTTTAAATTATAATTACTTTACTCTTTTTCTTTTATAATGCAATTTCTTATAAATTAGACGTTGATAAGTTAAAAGTACTTATTTCTAAGGTTTTAGATGGTAAAATTTTTATTTTATTTAAATTATTTATATTTAATAAGTTATAAACAAAAATTACACTAAGCCTCCGTTTGGCAAGGGCTTTTTCAAGCTTTTTTGGCTATTTTAGCCACAAAAAACAAAATAGGCTATTTTAGCCATAACAAACAAAACATCACATCCAACCTATAATCATTACATTCTTCTCTCACAAAAAAAGTCAAAAAAGCCAAAAAGTCCTTCCCAAACCAAGCTTTTTAGCCCAGGCTAAAATAGCCAAAAAAGCCAAAAAGCCAAAAAGCCAACCCACTTCCCAAACGGAGGCTAAATAATTTAGCATAAACTCTCGGAATAAAAAAAATAATTGTAAACAATTTGGGAATTCCTTGGGTATGGGGTGTGTACTATTTTCATTCTTATTACGTATTTTTGTGATACATATTACTTATTTTTCTAGTATAGTTACAATAATTTATGATTCATGCATTGAAATTATTTATTATTATGTCAGTGTTACACATTTTGTGATTGAAAAATAAAAAAGATGTGATAATTTTTTTAGCCTGGGATTAAAAAATCTCGTTTGGGATGAACTTTTTAGCTTTTTTGACTTTTGTGAAAAAAAAAATGAAATGATTATGGATTGGATGTGATATTTTGTCTTATTTGACTAAAATAGCCTATTTTATCTTATATGACTATTTTAACCCAAATGCTCTTCCCAAACATATGCATAGGATAATAGTACACACCCTTCCAGGGGAGTGTACTTTAGGCTTATTTGATTTGGGTTGTTTTGAAAAGATTATTAAAAGGTAGTTTTTTATTTTTGATTTTTGAAAAAAAATATATAAAAAATGTGAAAGATAATGTAACAAAAATGTGTTAAAATTTGAAAGATGACTTTTAATCATCTTTTCAAAATAACCCTTTGTTTAGATAAGGTACACGAAATAGTGCTTGTTTGGCAGAAATTATTTACAGCTTATTTCAGCTTTCAGCTTAATTTAAGCTATTTTGATGTGTTTGGTTTAGCTTATAACTTATAGCTTTGTGGAAGTCAGAAATCAGCTTATTCTTTGAGTGGGGCAGGAGATGCTTTAAGAATAAGCTGGAAATCAGCTTAAGCTGAAAGTTATAAGCTATAAACTGTTTAGGCATAAGCTATAAGCACTTTCCCACAGCTCTACCAAACAGGGCTATAGTCCTGTTGATCAGACATGTAAAATTAATAAGTGACTACACATATTTGAGGCTTACTTTGAATATGAAAGTGAAACTTGATGACTCTGTGTGGCGGAGCCTTCAAAATATGTTATACAATTATTTTTAAGTGTGGTATTTGTTTAGCATTTAAAAAAATTAATTCTACTCGTTTTTGAAAACTCTTTCCAAATGAGAAAATTTGTGCTAATCGGTCATCCCACCGGTCGTCTATCCAGTTGACCAGCCGGATGACCGGAATAGTATTCGTTTTATTTATTTATTTATTTATTTTTGCACCTGTTATTTTTATATTACAAAAAAATATATATTTGTGGATTTTTTTTAATTTTTTTTATGTGTTTTGAATAGAATTTTGGATTGTGTGTTTAGTTATGAGTTATAAGTTTTTGTATCAAATATCATATGTCACATCATTCAATTCAAACTCAATTTAAAACTCTTTTCAAAACTAATAATTAAAGAAATTTTTCATACTCAAATCATAATTCTAAAACTCACAAACTCAAAATGCAACTCAATTCTCAAATCATAATTCTAAAACTCTACCAAACACTGCCGATAGTTTTTTTTTAATTTTTATGTAGGGTATCCTAAGCCAATTTATGCGTATCAAACTAAGTCCCTAAGGTATGCGTTTGCTGGTTGGGAGATTCGAACCAAAGACTTGGGAGGAAACAAACCTTTAGGCCCTAATTGTCACTCACTAGACCAACCACCCTGTGGTTTAAAACTTGATAATTTCTCATCATAAATATAAAATAAAAAAATTATTAATTTATATAATAAATTTATTTACTTCTGTTATTTTGTTGATATTTTCGAAAATAATATAAAAAAATATCAATTAGTAATTGAATTGGAGTATTAATCATAAAATAAAAATAAAAATAAAAAGTAAAGCTTTTTTTTATAAGACAGGCTCCAAAATTTCTTTGGAGTTTGAATTAGTCCACTCTGAATGGTCCATGCTTTTTCGATAATTGATTTTGTTGGCGAAGTGATAATATATGATGGATGGATATACAGATAGATGATAGGACACACAGTGGTATAGATAGGATAGATGATTTATGAGTTAGGTTAGAAATTCTATATATTTTATTAAATTTTTTACATGGGTGTGAGATCTACACACATATAGATTTGTATGAGTCTCACTTTATGTGAGAGGATTGATAAAATATTTGAGATATATAGCATTTCGCATGATTTATATTCCATTTTTATTGCTAACTTTAAATGTTAAATTTAAGTCATTTATTATAATTGTATGATTTTAGGGCATGATAAAATGTCACTTCTTTTGCTATTTAAGTAATAAAATAAATAAATAAATAAAAACATTTTGATTGTATGTTTTCAGCCTATTTAGGCTTGGTTTGGGAAGTGCGTTCGTTTTTTATTTTTTTTGGTTATTTTAGCTCGTGGCTAGAAAGCTTATTTTGAGAAGGATTTTTGATTTTTTTAATTTTCTTGATTTTTTTGCGAGAGAAAGAAAGTAATGATTATGAGTTAAATGTGATGTTTTATCTTATTAGAACTAAAAAAATCTATTTTATTTTTTGTAACTATTTTAGCCCCAAACCCACCCTTAAGTGATGCAGGGGGGAAAATCCACCTTAATTGAACAATTGCCAAAAATACTTTATAAGGTAACTAATATCAACATAGAATACATTTTGATATATTGATTAATTATTATTATTATAATAACTTGTAATTAACACTAAATCCCAACAATTCTAACAATCCATAATTAACATTAAACTTAAAATATATGCAGTTTAAATAAATAAGAATAAAAAAATATATTTTATGTGTTACTCGACTGGAGTAATAAATATGTTTTTTATTGAGTTCCAACAAAAAAAAAAAAAATTGAAGGGTTGAATTGAAGTGTTGCCATATTTGTTTATTATGTAGGTGTTGTTTAGATAGAGGTTAAATTAAAAAAATTCACTAAAAGACAAAATAATTTAAAGTAATTTTTATCAAATTAATTATAAAAAAATCAATTAACTTTTCAAACATAATTATTTTAACCAAATTAAAATAATTAAAATATCAAATAATCAACTAAAATAATTAACTTTCAATGAGGACATAGTGTGCATAGTAGAGTAAACAAAAAAAAAAAAATTCTATCTCTATCTCTCTTAAGGCGGTTATTTAGTATTTTTGAAATATTATTTAATATTTTTAAAATATAAAATTTTAATTGATAGAAAGAATCAGAGACTCACAATTTATATTGAGATAAGAAAATAACATAAGAGCCAAATAATTAATAATTACTTGAAATATGATATGATCGCGGAATGTTTCGAAATTATTAAATAATTTCCCGTCGCTCGGTCTTTCTTTTAGTTCACGAACCCTCTCACCGTCACATAGCGGCAACTTGTAATTCAACTTTTACTCATTTTAAACTGCCAACTTTAGCGATCACCCTTTACAAAAACAATTTGCCAATTTTGTTGATTGTTGGACTCATCTCTTGATCTTTTCATTTGGATTTGAAGAAGAAGAGAGAGAGAGAGAGAGAGAGAGGGGTATAATATTGTGTTGTCTCTCTGTAATTTAGGGTTTGTTCGAGATGAAGTCATCTCTGGGGATGCTTCGAAGATTTGCACTTCACAAAAGCCACGGGAAAGAGAAGACAGACTATCAACTGTCCGTGCATTTGGATGATCTCTCTCAAGCTTCACAGGTCACTTCTCTATTCTCTTTTCCAAAATTTTACTGTGTTTAGTTTACTGTCCCCTAATTTGATTACTGAATCTTCACTTTCCAAACCTATATATGTTGTCTTAGTTCTTTATTATTATTATTATTATTTGTGTGCTTGAATTTGTTCTTTGTCTCTCTTGATACAACGAAAGTGCCGCAATTCCTTCATTTTCTTTTTTAAAAAAGTGAATTAATTGTGATTTGTGGAATTCACAGCTTAAAATCGCTATTTGATTACCTTATTACTAGAATTATTGGCTAGGGTAGATTACACAAATGGTCTCTGGAGTATACTACTGATTTCAGTTTGGTCCCTGGTATTTAATTTGTATCAATTGCTGCATCCCTATACTTCACACTTTACAAATGTCTAAAGAACATACAAAAAGGGTCTCAGATGTGATCATGTTCATGCGTCTCTGATTACCATTTGAAAAACAAGCCCATGTGCTAGAAAATGAAACGAGACTTGACTAGAGGGAAATGAAGTGCATGTCCAAAAAAAGAGATGCAACCCCAAATCCAACATTTTTTTTAATTACATCGATTCAAGTTGGATAATTTTTTGTCATACTAGTTCCTATAGAGTTGTTTAATGCAACTTCATTCACAAAGAGGAGGAAATAGATCTTGCATTGGAGTTCTTACTGTTGTTACCATGACTCTATCCATGGCCGCCAGGATTGCTTCCCACAACCTCAACAAGATAAAAAATATATTTTTTCATCTGTTGCTTTGGTTGTTGTTTTCGAGCCTCTTGCTTCCTGTAAGAGTGATCATATAAAGAGCAGATGGGTCCATTCTTTACACCGAACTTGTTTGATGTAGTTTATTTTAAGCTGAAAGTTGATAATTAGAAAGCAGAAGCCAAAAACATCCCTCCCCTAGCTTCCAATTAATCATATTTTTTTAACTTATTTAAGCTATTTATGCCTAATAAACTATAAGTAGAAGCTATATCAAACAGTCTGACATATTATCCTAAAATAAAAAAAGTTATAAGCAACTAATATAAGTTGCACCAAATACTTCCCATAAGTGTTTTTGATTGTGGCTTTAATGAACAAGGACTTAAAAACTTAATAAATATGTAAAATATTTTTTTGTGGACTTTGAGGGGGCAGAATACTATGTGAAGTTAAGTATTCTATTTCCATTGTTTAGCAACTGGCTACGGTTTGTTGTCGTACATGGGATAAAAAAAGGCTCAGGACTTGTATTTTGCAACTGGCTAGAGAAACTTGTTTATTTTCCGTGAGGAAACAAAAAGGCTCAATTTTGCTGCTAATATGCAGACAACACCACCATGATGCAATGTCTACTTGCTGTACTCTTTTACTAATTTTTATGAGTAGGAAGCATGATGGAAACTGAGAGATCATAAGTATAATTGGTTATAGGTAAATATCCTTTGACATGCATCCGATTTTAATAGTGTCTTACCTCCTTTGTAGAAATGTGATTCTAATAATGCGACACTTATTAAAACTTGAGCATATATCTTGCTTTGAATTGTAAAATTGACCTGAAATAAGATTTCGTAGTTTTAGAATGAGACTTTTTAAAGAATTATCAACGCTCTTTTCTTTGTCATTGGTGATGTTGGCAGTGCAATTAATTCGCATCTCTGCCGTCACTTGATTTAGACATGATACTATATACTCAATCAATTGATGACATTTGAAGATTTTGTAACTTTATATCCTTGCCTTCTATCATTGTCCCTTCTTCAAAATCTTTTGATTTTGTTTGTTTCCCTTTTTCACAGGATATGCATGATATGAGGAATTGCTATGATAGCTTGCTTTCAGCTGCTGCTGCAACAGCAAATAGTGCATTTGGTAAAAAGAGCCTTGTGCTCATGCTTTGATATTAGTATAAAAGGCCAATTAATATGCTCCTATTGCGATGAGTTAAAGATAAATTAGAATGGACACTAATTTGTTCTTATATGATTGTTTGATTATCTTTTGCCCTTGCAATGCTCTAATATGGTGAATATGCCTATTATTATGGCTGTCTTTTGTGTGTTGTTTCTATGACTGAAGCTTCTATTACAAGTCCACGAGTCTGATAATACTGGTAGATGTCTAAACATTGACCATATATCTATGGCTCTCTCCTAAGATGACGTTTTCAGAACTTTCTTACTTTAAATCATATTCAGTCTTAACCAATGCAATTATATGAAGGTAATTTGATTCATAGTCAGCTTTATGTGACACTATATCAAAGTAGCCACCTCCCATTTAACTGCATCTGCTATTTCAGAATTTTCAGAGTCACTGCGGGATATGGGTACCTGTATACTGGAGAAAACTGCATTAAATGATGATGAAGAAAGTTGTAAGTGCATCATGTTGCTATTTGCTTGGAAGTTGTTCAGATTATTCTTGGAACAGTTGATATTGGTATTGATGTATATAATTAGGCCATAATGTGAATCAAATATAGGAACATGGAAGATATAGATGATCTCCAGCAAGCTGTTGGACCTCTTATTTATTTATGCACAGATTAGAGAATATAGTAACAGTTCGTAGGTTTTCACATTCACTTTAATACATAGTTCTTTGGTTATGTAAAATGTTCTTCTGGACCTACATTGTTTGATAAAATGACAATTGAATGTCTTCTATGTAATGCATCAGATAATGAACCTTTGGTTTATTCCAAAGTTATATTAATTTGTCGGTTAACTGTTGCTAGACTGCTATACTGGTTTGTTCTCATTTTATAGCTTATTGTTTTTGATTCCTTTAATTTGAGTAGGTGATTTGTTCTAGATTCAACTGAACTCAAAACCATCTAAATTATTTTGTATATATTTTAATTTCTCTGCTTCTGTTTTATGCTTATGCTTCTTTCTTTCCCCTTCTTCTGTCTTCTTCATATTAATTATTGTATGATTTAGATAATGACGTACATCATTTCTGAGCTTTTTTTTTTTTTAGTTCTTTTCTTTTCTGGTTTATAATTTCATGCAATGAATGCTTTTGCTTTCTATTAGAGCACCATACCATGCTTTTTGTTCTTATCATCACCATTTTCTTGTTTTTCACCCAATTTGGTTATTGATCAATGCTTCCATATTTAGTAACTCATTTAAAGAAAAACTTGGCATTTTGTTTGAAGTCGCCCGTCTGCTCACACACGCAATTTTTCGTTCTTTCTTTTTATTTCAAGATTTTTTAAGATAAATCATATTTGTGCTGTAATTACTCTTTATGTTTGTGCAGGCAAAATATTGTCAATGATGGGAAATGTGCAGTTTGAACTCCAGAAACTTGTTGACTCCTATGTTGGTTCTTATTGTTATGTTGTACACTGCAGCACATTATTTGATATCACCTTACAGTATTGGTTTCAACATAGTTATGACATTGCGTTCTCCATTTCAGCGCTCTCATGTAATCCAGACAATTACGACCCCATCAGAGTCGCTTCTCAGTGAACTTCGGACAGTAGAGGTTGGTCCATATGGATTCTATCTTTTGTTGTTGTGGTTATTGGATCCACATTGCTTCTCCAATCTACTAACATTTAATTTTATATTGTTGTTCTTGGACTTATTTTAAGCTTCTCATTGTTTATATTTGTATAATGCATAGCTGCATATCACCACAGTGTTTGCGTTTCTTTGAAGTTGACTGCATTGTACAACTATGTAGAAATTTAATGTATAAAGAGAAATAGAGAGAATTAATTATGTATAGAGAAATAGAGAGAATTGTATTATTGATTGATATATATTGATATGTCAATTACAAATGGTGAGTGGCTCATTATATAGGAGAGGGTGAGTGTAGTAGGTGAGGAGTAGGTGACGAGTAGGTGGTGGTAGGTGATGGTAAATTTTAACAGCCCCCCGCAAACTCAAGGAGGATAGAAACTAACCAACTTGAGTTTGGAGAGAGGAACAAAACAAGAAAATACATAAAAATAAAAGAGGATAAGAGACACTGTATGGTCGTGTCAGACCATTGGTGAAGACACTGGATGGTGGTGTCATAACGTTGGAGAGGACACTGGATGGCGGTGTCAGACCGATGTAGAAGACAATTTATGGGGTCATGTCGGACCGTTGTAGCAGACAATGTTGTGACAGTTTACAGAGTCTTGCTGGACCCTTGTAGAAACTAACCGGAATCAATGTCGGGACAGTTTACAGAGTCTTGTCGGACCCATAAAGGAACTAACCGAAATTAATGTCGGGACAGTTTACAGAGTCTTGTCGGACCCATGAAGGAGCTAACCGGAATCAATGTCGGGACAGTTTACTGAGTCTTGTCGGACCCTTAAAAAATCGCACCCTCAAAAGGTGTGTCCAATTTTTTAAAAGGCGTGCCCAATCCATCAAAAGGCGTGCCCAATCCATAAAAAGACGTGCCATCAAAAGGCGTGACAAGTTGTCGGCGAGCGCCGAGCGGCTCATGATGCGCATGTCTGATGCGCGTGTCTGCCTCTTCGTCAAGGTCTTTATAAATCGAAGCGGAGGCTGAGGCTGAGGCAGAAAACCCGCTAAAAAACTCTGAAAAAAACTCTTCGTGTTGCTGAGAGAGATAGTTCCTTTTGCTGAGAGAGTGTCTCTAAGAGCTGCAAATCTTGAAACACTCTGTAATACTCGGTTGCCCAGAAAATGGCCTCTTCGTCCCGTAGTCTGCTCACTCTCTTTCCAGACCTCAATGAGTCAACAAGAGAGAGAACTGGTGCGGTGGCACTGGAACCTCAACCAAGCGCCCCGGAGTTTGCTCCGTTGAACTTTCCGATAGGGTGATTCTGCCTCCCGAGAAACCCAATGTTACAACAAACCCTTTCCCCACACATAACCAAGCTCCACCGCATAAAAGGATCAACTTCATCCAAATTGGGGTCGTGCCTTACGATCCTAGCATTTATATCCCACCTGCCTAAGCCGGAGGTATTCCTTCCAATCTGAAACACTCAGCAACCCATAACATGGCCTCTTCTTCCCGTTCAGCAACCTAGAACATGGCCTCTTCTTCCTGTGGTCTGCTCACTCTCTTTCCCGACCTCAACGAGTCCACAAGAGAGATAACTGGTGCGGTGTCCCGTGAACCACAACCAAACACCACTGGTTTGCTCCGTTGAACTTTCCGATGCAGTCGGTGGAGCAAAAAATGGCAGTGCAAACGGATGTGGAGGCTAATCAGTATACTTTGAAGGCATGTGTGGAGTCCATGACGGCGGTCACAAACTTGTCGCACCGGCTGCAGAGTAGGACAAATGAGGTGCAGCAATTAAACTCCCAGCTGGCTCTGCTCCAACGCATGTATAAGGATGCGCGAGCAGAGATAAGTGTGCTAAAGGCGGAAAACAAGGAGCTGAAGCGGAAGGCCAGTTTTATGTTCCGATTTGGAGGGCCGCCATATGCTGCAGTGGAGGAGCAGGGAGTAGTGATCATGCCCAGTGGAGTGGGAAACACGGAGGCAACACCGGCAAGGGCCGCCCAGGACGGAGGCAAGAAGAAAAGACCGGCGGCAGAGTAGAGAAGAAAAAATCCCACCTGTGAATGTGGTTGTTTGTTTGTTTGTTTTTTGTAAAATTGTGATCGGGGTTGATCCCTGAGATGAATAAAATATGGTTTGGTGTGCAAAGCTAGATGGTATGAATGGAATTGGAAAAAGATTAAAAATAAGGTGAAAGAAAAATAAAGAAAGAAATAATAAAAATATATTTGAAATCAAAAATGAAAGATGGGGAAATAAGGAAAGTGGTTTGGAGAAAATAAATAAAAATAATGGAGTTTGAAATCAAACGGAGGAGAGATGATGTTTTTTTTATTTTTTTATTTTTTTATTTTTTATAATAAAAAAAAGAGATATATATATATATATATATAAAATATAGAAAGTGGGGAAAGTGGCGGTGGATGCAAAGTGGGTTGGAAAGTGAAAAGATGAGAGAGAGAAGGCATGTGGGTGGTTGTCCATTGTGGAGGACAAACATAGTGGGTTATATTATATTCAGAAAGTTGTCCATTGTGAATGATGGTTTTGATGATGGTGATGGAGGAGTGAGTGTGGAGAGTGAAGGGTATTGAAGAAGAGTGAGGAACGATGGGTCTGTGAGACATATGCTTGTGAGAGAAAAGGAATCTGAAAGAAAGAAGAGATGGGTGTTGTAGCTTTCTCTCTCATCCTGGCATTACCGTAAGGGATGAGCTCGGAAAATGGAAGACATGAACACGACTGGACATTCAGCACTCCACATGTCAACCTTGGCATCATATTGCTGAAATTGCAGAATTTCTGGGGCCATATACAGTGGAGACCTGCAAACTGTCTCTGCGTGATCATTAGGATGTAAAATTCTTGAGAGACCAAAATCAGCAATCTTTAGCACTGCATCACTGTGAGGGCTTGAAAGCAAAATGTTCTCTGGTTTCAAAGTGAAGGTATGTGTTGTGTAGAAAATAAGCGGAATAGGTTGAGGTCCGGCGGGCGGTCAAGGCAAGGTTGCCGCCGGCCGGAAGGCGAAGAATACCAAGATCTTTTAACCTATAGCTCTGATACCATGTAGAAATTTAATGTATAAAGAGAAATAGAGAGAATTAATTATGTATAGAGAAATAGAGAGAATTGTATTATTGATTGATATATATTGATATGTCAATTACAAATGGTGAGTGGCTCATTATATAGGAGAGGGTGAGTGTAGTAGGTGAGGAGTAGGTGAGGAGTAGGTGGTGGTAGGTGATGGTAAATTTTAACAAACTACAATATGGGCCATAATAATATCTTGGCATGTTGCCTACTAAAAAACCAAGTTGCTCTTGAATAGCTAATCTTGGCTATCAAGAATGTTGTTCAGGTGTTTTTACTAATCAAATATAATGTTGGTGCTCTGTTGAGCCAATCTTGTCCAAGAAAGTGAGCATTTCGCTACCAAAAGAAAGAAAAAAAAGATCCTCAATGGAGATCAATACAAGGCAATGTGCACAAAGGCAAAGTCGTTAGCTTTGAGTAGCGGGAACCAAAAAGCCAAAAAGACCTAAACTCTAAAAAGATGAACTCACATCCTGAGAGCCTTGGCCAAAAGAAAATTTAGGATTGCTAGTTGAAGAAGCATTCCCTTTACCATAAAAATGAAAAAAGAAAACAAGAAGCATTCCCTCAGGAAACTAAGCCAACAGTTGATCTAGTGGAGCATTGTAAATCCTTCATGCCAATTTGGCATTGGAGATAAGCTGTTTTCTGAGATACCTTGCAACACAAATTACCTCTAGGGTGTGACAGATGGTTGCTTGAACCTCTTTTTTTTTTCAAATTTAATTTTTTTAATTATTATTGTGAGGTGGTGGTTTTAGCAATTGAAATTATGCTCTTGTTTGTAACATCTCCAAGGGATATAACTTTTTTATGTCCAGGCATTAGTCGTTGCTGAATGAGGTGCTTGACAATAACTCGGAACTTCTTTTATTGATCATGAAAAAGCTGATACATTGTTTCTTCCCAAGGAAAAAATTATTTTGGTTAATTGCTGATTTTCTACCTTTAACATGCTATGAGTGAAAGGGAATGAATATCGACATACCAATTGTCATTACATCAATGTTAGTCAGAGACTTTACAGACTCCCCCTTCTCTCATTTCCTCCTTTTTGTCACCTGGGCTGCCTTCAGATGGAAGGCTTGTCAGCCTCTTGTCAGCTGGATGCCTTTTACTGTTGGAATGTGTCCCACATCGTCTAATGTGTCTCACATCGTCTGAAGTTGCCCTATCTGTGCTAATTATAAGGCTCTAGTTTCTCTCTCCTTAATACTTAGGTTTTAAGGAGAAGTGTGGGCTGGGCTTTAACTTGGTATCAAAGCTTGGTTGGGCCTGTGATTGGTGTGCCGTTTGTCCGGCTACTGTATGTTATGGTCCAGGAGGATGTGTTGGAATGTGTCTCATATCACCTGGAGTTGCCTCATCTGGGCTAGTTATAACGCTCTAGTTTCCCTTTCTTTAATACCTGGATTTTAAGGAGAAGTGTGGGCTGAGTTTTTTAACTTTTACTACCTTGGTATGTTATTATCATGGCATTGATTGTATTGAATGGCCTTTCTCTTGTTTTATGGTGCAGGAAATGAAACGGCAATGTGATGAAAAAAGGTACAAATCGTTCCATTAGTCTAAATTCCTTGATGGAAATAAATTTCTTATCGATTCGTTACATAAACTTCAGAAATTTGTACAAATACATGGCGGCACAACAGCGAGAAAAAGGAAGGTCAAAAAGTGAAAAAGAGGAAGTTTTTACTTCGCAGCAATTACAAGCAGCTCATGATGAATATGATGAGGAGGCAACCCTGTGCATTTTCCGATTGAAATCTCTGCAGCAAGGGCAATACCGCAGTCTTTTAACACAGGCAGCTCGTCACCATGCAGCTCAGGTGTTCTTTATGTCTTCCCACAAGTCCATAGATGATTTTATTGTAAGTTCACCACTAATGTCTTTTACTTTTTCCCTTCTCTGTGGCTCTGAAAGCAGTTGAATTTCTTTCGGAAGGGACTTAAATCTCTTGAAGCAGTTGAGCCACACATAAGACTCGTTATGGAAAAGCAACACATTGACTACCAACTCAATGGACTTGATGATGGGGAAGATGGGGAGGATGAAGGTGTGAATAGTCATGAGACTAATGATGATGGGGAATTGAGTTTTGGCCTTGATGCTGTTTCCACATTGAGGAATTCCATGGAGGTAAGTTTGCCCTTTAAAAACTTCCTACATAAGTTTTCCTTGTCATATAACAAGTCAAGCCAAAGCTACCAGTTCATTATGAAATTGTTTATTAAGATAAATAATAGGAAGTTAGTATAATAACATTCAAGCCTTTAGAGGCCCAGTCAGCCAATTCAAACTTAACGTGTATTCGTATGGGTTGAGAAGGGAAATACAAGGTGATTTGATATGTCTGATTGTGTTTAATTTCCATTTTTGTATATTCTTGTAGATATTGAACCTTAATTTTTTTGCATCTTATGGCGGCTTTTGCAGTTGGATCAGGCAGACATTCTGCGTCCTCTAGTTTCTACAGTGGAAATTGCAGAGGTAAAAAAAAATTCGCATCCCTTTCAATAGTAGACTGAAACTGTGATTTGTCTGTAGAACTATCTGGACGAAGTGTCCATGGCAAAAGAATTAAATTATGTTCAAATTCTTCTATTATTTTTTTCTTCTGGAGACAACTTAAGCTCTTTTTGAACCATTTTGAAACAGTTTGGCATAGTGATAGAACCATGGGCATTTTTTTTTTTGGTTTGTTTGTTGTAGAATCCTGTTAATGTGTGCAGGTAAATCTCAACAAAGGCCTGGGAGAGCAGATTTTCGATCAGCAACCTCGAGTGGCCAGCCATTCTGCCCCAATATTTGCAGATACGAAGTTTGATCCAGCTGAAAGGATTAGAGAAATGCAGCCATCATCTGCTCGGAAGTTTCATAGTTATGTGCTACCAACTCCAGTTGATGCGAAGAGCTCAATTTCTGCAAAAACAAATAGTTCAGTTCTGCAGTCAAGGCCAACAAGTCATAGTGGAAGCACCCAAAGCTTGTGGCATTCATCCCCGTTGGAGCCTGAGAAGCATGAGAAAGATTTCGCAGATGATAACTCATCAGTGCCCACTATCCCTAAAGCACAATCAAAACTCAAAGAGAGCAGTAGGAACAACCCCTCAGTCCATCTACCCCCATATTTGTCTCAGGGACTCTCACTTACACACAGTGATACACATAATGCATATGATACTAAAAAGGTCAAAAGACAAGCTTTCTCTGGCCCTATTATTACAGGTAAGCCGTTGCCAACCAAGCCTGTTTTATCTGCCAGCGGCCCCATTACCTCCACTGAACTTCCCCAACTGGTTTCTGGATTGCTTTCTGGAGTACCAACTCTTCAGCCTCCTTCTTCATCTCCGAAGGTGTCTCCCAGTGCTTCACCTCCAACTGTATCGTCACCCAAAATAAGTGAGCTTCATGAGCTTCCTAGGCCCCCAGGTGGTTTAACCTCTAAGCCAGTAAGTTCTTCCATTAGGCACTCTGCCCCATTGATCTTCAGGAATCAAGAGGTTTCTCAAACGAACAAAAGCCCTGCCGGGGCATTTAGTGCTGCATCCACACTTCCAACTCCTCCATTAGTTGTTCCTAGAAGTTTCTCCATACCGTCTAGTAATCAGAGAGCAATGGCGTTGCATGTGGCCAAGCTATTGGAATCTCCTCAACCTCCAGAGAAGGCTGAAGAATAGATTCTCCTCCACTGACACCAAGCTGTTATCAAATGTTTCAGAAGTAGCTCCTCACTCTGGGCAAATTGAAGGTATCTAAATTCCTATCTCTCAATGTTTGTGCAATTTTTCTTTATATGACAGGATGACAAGAAAATTTGGAAGTATGATGTTTGTGTCATATTTCTTTATATGATAGGCATCTAAAATTCCTATCCCTCAATGTTTGTTTAACTTTGGATGTTGAAAATTAGGATATCCAGTAAGGCTAATAAGTTTGGATGACAAGAATCTTGAGGGAGAATGAGAAAGTGATTCCGGGTCTCCATGATTCCAGAGTTTGGAACGGATTGGAATAGAAAAGTGATTTGTGATTATTGATTTCAGAAGGAATCACATATCTAAACAAAGTATGAATTTTCAGAAAAAAGATTCTAAGAACTCAATTGATGCCATTTGGTGTAATCACATCACATGGATGCCTTTTGATTCTTTGTGAAACCTTTTATGACGATAAAATAAAATTGTTTTAATATGAAGAATGGGGTTAACAAATATTTGATAATGTCACATCTTGTTTTACAACAAATGAAGCTAAATGTTCTGGACAATGGGGTTTCTTATCCTCTGCTTATTTTGTGTATAGGTTCTAAATGTGAATTAATGGGTGTAGGTGAGAGCTGATTCTGTGGATTTCAGCTGATGAAGACAGGTCTGTAAATGATTTTTCGGGTATTGTTTCATTTTTTTTTTAATGGAAGCTTTTCTCCATGGCTAGTATGATCAGTCTCATTTATTTTTCTAGAGACAATGGATGATTTTTCATAATATATGGAAGTGAAGCAAATATTATGCTGTTCTGGTTTCGTGGTTTATATATATCATCAGTTGTCATGTCCAGTTGTTGTTCCCCAAAGCGAGTCTTTATTATACCTAAATACCTGCACGTGTACCTTCCTATCTACCTATTCCATTTATATGGCCATGTTTAGCATGGTTTTTTTTGGTTATTTTAGTTATAAAAAAACAAAATAGGATAAAAAATCAAAAAGATATAATGTCACATTCAACCATAATCATTTCATTTTTTTTCTCTTATAAAAGTCCAAAAGTTCATCTCAAATAAGGCTTGTTAATTTCAAGCTAAAATAGTAAAAAAATCAACCGACATTTCAAACGGAGGCATAATATCCATTTCTTCATTGAGTAATGATCCTGATTAGTGTATGAAGGAAATATTTAAAATTAAATTCACTTTTAAAAAGTAATTTTCAAACTTGCTTTTAATGTTGTACTGGGTACTTTTAATAGAAAAAAAAAAAGAGTTACAAAATTACCTTCTTTATTTTTTGGAAGTTAAAATTACTACTAATTATAAAGAGTGGTTATAAATGGTGGTGTTACAAGCACTAATTGATATATTAATTAATGTACCAACATATATTATAACATTATTTATTACTCTGAAATTATAATCTTACCCATTATATAAATTATAAAATTTTAAAATTTTTAAAATTATGTCATATCATTTGTTAATATATTAATTGGTATGCTGATGGATGCATATAGCATTATTCAATTATGAATTAACTTATTGTAGAATATTTTGTAGAACATAATACAACCAACCACATAATTGTCTTTCCAGATAATAATACAAGAAAAATGTTTGAGGGCCACAAAAAGTGTGGCTCAAATGGCTCAAAATTGTCAAAACGACGTCGTTTACTTTATGATATTCGATCAATTTGATTTTTTACAGGTATGATATACTGAATAAATCTAAAAATATTAACGGTTCGGATTATCAAAACTGTGCCTCAAAGTGGACCCGAAAGCCCCTGCAAGGAGGGAATTAAGGAGGGGACTCAAGGGGAGGATCCCAATTCCTGTCTTCCACCATTACTATTCAACCACAATAAAGTTCCCATAGCCTGGGTAGGGCACTCTTCAGATGCTCTACTTTTCCTGGGTACCCAAACAATATGAACATAACACAACAGGTGGGAAGCCATACAGGACTGTGGCAGTGAAGAGAGATTTAAGAAATTCCCAAGCTTTAAAATGAATTAATCTTCACACTGGATTACTAAATGCCAAACCTTTCACACCGGATGAATCTATCACCTCAACTGTGTCCAGCCATACAGATAATAAATGAAACAACCCCAATATGCCAAATGGTCCAATTCTTCACCATAATAATAATAATAAAAAGATGGAAATTTCTTCTATGTCAGATAAAGATGGCAAAGTAGAAGGCATCATCCAGTGGCCTGCATCCCATTCATAAATATTCCACAACAACAAAAACAGAATTAATAGGGTTCAAAATTGATCAGAGGTCACTGATCAAGAAATGTACAAAGACAACTACAGAAAGTAGCTTTGGACAGCAGAGCATAAGATGACAAGTTTACTCCCATCGTGTTCAAAAACTGCCCAAAATATCAGAGTAGCAGACTAACTAATTTGTTCATCTCACGTCTAAAGGAATCCAATAGCGGACTGATAACGGAAGCTACTGATGTTGCTATCTTCTCTAATGATTAGCGCTTCTTCTTGCCTCCTTTTGCAGCACCAGATTTTGATGGTGTTGCAACCAGGTATACAAACAAAGTCACAATCGAGAGCACAGAGATCAATGACCCATACTTTGCCAACAATCTCTGTAGATAGAGAAAAGTAAAAAGCATGAGAAAAGCAGTTCCATAGAAGTCCTATAGTTCACTAAAGAACTTTACATTAGTCATGATATGATCGATACGGAGACATGACTAGACTCTGGAACCCAACAGGCAAAATAATATATAAAATAAAGTCCCAAATTTAGTTCAACTTATCAACTGATCTTATATTGGATTGTTTAGGATCATTGGTAAGTCCCTTCTTATTCCACCTGTTAACATAATGACATAAAAAAAGGCCGTTGCCCAATGTTGGTCCATCTACCACACCATCTGTAATAGTTCACTAATTCACTAATCTCTGGCATGTAACACTCCTAATCCATCCTATGCAAGTTCTAGTAATGTATCACAAGAAAAATAACAGCAATGGTAATAAAATAATCTGCATCCTGGAGTCCCAGCAGTAAAGAATACGGTAATAACAAAAATTGGACATACCTTAGCCTGAGAAAATTTGGTCACCACCAATCACGATGCCATGGAAAAACACAAGAATGCCTCTTAGTCAACATGGGATAGCATGTCTAAAGCATTGATTGATAAATCTATTACTTGTGAGAGACTTACCAACTCAAACTTCTTCTCAGGAGGTCTATCTGCAAGGATATCTAAAGGCATGATTGGAGTTGAATAAGCCTCCTAAAAATTGACAACCACAAAAAGATCATAAATCATTCAAATTGACCAGAAACATAAATGTATACATCATTGTTCCATATACATATGAAATGGCTGAAAATGCCAAACCTGTAGGGCAGCCTTTGTGGGGACACGGAATGTGATAACTGCTGGTGCACCATAAAACAGTGTTTGTACTTTGGATTCCAATTCAAATGCATGTGATAGAATAGCACCACTACAAATTTTACAAGCAAGCATGATAAAAAAAAGAAACAAAAATATCAATTCAATAATGTGAAATAAGGAGTAAATTTTATTTTTTTTTGATAAATATATATATAGTCCTTATTTTAAAAAAGAAATATATTATTATTATTATTATTTTTTTTTTTTTTGAAATAAGGAGTATATTTTAAGAATGAGAAACTCACGCATCAAGCCTTTCCCATGACATTGAAGTGTTTCCACTGACACTGTCAAAAATATCTTTAGACCAGCTATCATCAGTTAGACTTATGTCATAAGCAGTCCTGAAGACAACACAATATACAAAAGATCCAAAAGTATAAGAGGTATTTATACCCAAGGAAAGTCCTCAGTTGCTATTAGAAGGGGAGAGTGAAAGAAGGAGGAGAAAAATTACCAAATATCAACAGTGTTCTACTGTAAGACTTCTACCAACACATTCCACTACGTAAAATTTACTGTGCACCGATACTTCGCAATAGATCAAATTACATTCACTAAAACCTCTACTATCAAATAATTACTAAACAGGATAAAAGGATAATTGAAGAGATAGCCATGGAAAGGATCCACCCACTACCAAATGCATGCTGGTTGATGGTCCAAGAAAATTTAGCACATTTGGCAACTTCTACTGTGTGTCATAAATTGATGATAGTTGAGAATGAATTCATGATGCTAGAATATTGGCTACAGCTACAGGCAAGGATTAGGAGTCATTTTCCTAGAAAGAAGCAAAACTCATGAACAATTAATCAACATAAATATGAACCCTCACATTAAAGTGTTGTGACAACATCTATAATATAGCCAGATAGCTTTTGGAACCTGCAAGAAAGTTTATCAAACTCTTCTCACAACAACAATTAGATCAAACTCTCCTTTACATTAACTTTCCTTTATTTAGTAAACTTCATAATCAAATTAATAAGATTTAAGTATTAACAAAACATATTTTCAATGTGTCACAGACTCACAGTAACAAAACCACTCAATCATTTCCTTGAATATCTAATAATAGTGACACTGAAAGAAGAAATATTAATCCAAAATACGAAAAAGAACATGGTTAACTCATAAACAGATGTGGGTTCACTTGTAAAAAAAACACAGATGCAGCTTCACTAGATTTTGCCTTTTAGTCTTAGACTCCTACCCACCTCTTCAAACCCTGACCACACCCCAACTGAAGGTCCCTCCAACCCCGAAGCTATGGATGTTGAAAGCAATAGAAGAACAATATCGTGAAATGCAGCTAAAGATTTGATTTGAACTCACAATTTTACATCTGCTTATCACAGTAACAAAACTACTCAATCCTTTCCTTGATCAAACCTTAACGCTGTGTTTGGTTGAGAGATTTGGAAACGGAATCGGAGAGGAAAATGGAAAAGGTAGATGAAATGTAAATAAAATATGCTTACATTTCACTTAATTTCACACGCCTTTCCTCTTTTCTTTTTCAAATCCCTTCTCAAATTCCTTACCCAATCACAGCCTAAATATCTAATAATAGTGACACTGAAAGAAGAAATATTAATCTAAAATACGAAAAAGAACATGGTTAACTCATAAGCAGATGTGGATTCACTTATAAAAAAACACAGATGCAGCTTCACTAACCCACCCCAACCCAAGGTCCCTCCAACCCCAAAGCTATGGACTTTGAAAGCAATACAAGAACAAGTCTCATGAAATGCAGCTAAATATATTATTCAACTAACAATTTTACGTTTGCTTATGATAGAAAAGCAACAGTATCATTGTTTCAAAAGTCAACTAGGATAAAGCTGATTTTACGTTTTTAGGCAATTGCTACTGACAGAAATGATCACTACTCTATATGAACTTTTATTATCAAGCAAAAGAATACGGTTTCAGTAATAAATTAAAACAAAACTGTCGATTAACTAACGTTATTACTATCGTTCGAAAACGTAATAAAACTGAATTTGCAAAAACTTCTCTACTGTTTCATATATCCAATCCAAAACAATAAACTATAATTAAAGCAAGGACGCGAAGCACTCAATAGCCATTATTAGTCCACCCCCCAAAAAAAAAAAAAGAACACTCAGATCCTTGGTTGTAATCTCATATAATATAAGCACACCACAAATTCAATCAAGGCAAAAAAAATCAACAGTATTAGCAATCCAACACATACACATCCGAGTCGATCCACAGACAGATTATTCGGAAAAACCAAAGTAGATTAGAGAGAGAGAGAGAGGGGGGGAGGGGGAGAGAGAGAGAGATCGGAAATGCGGAAAAACCAAAGTAGATTAGAGAGAGAGAGAGGGGGGGAGGGGGAGAGAGAGAGAGATCGGAAATGGTGGAATCGAAGGGAACATACGCAGATCCTTGGTTGTAGATATCAAGTGAGACGGAAACACGTTCGATGCCAGGCTTGAGCCTGGTGAGAGTGGCCTTCTTGTGAGCGAGGATGAAGGGAGCGTCTGAGCTCGCGACCACCGAGGAGACGAAGAACAAAGCTATCAGCACAGAGATCAGACATTTCGCGATCTGAATCGTCATCGTTGAATGCTTCTCAGGTCCAGATTTTATTGGATCCACAGGACAGGAGGAGGAGAGACTCAATCAAAGAGAACAAGAAGCAACGATAGAGCAGCAGTATATATTTGAAGGAGAAGAAAACAAACAGGTAGGGTTCATACCGTGTTTTACGTCTACCACCAACACTGTATACATACAAACCAAAATCTAACCGAACCGAGCCGAACGAACCCGACCAACCAGATAAGTTGGGTTTATTCAATTCATTTTGCATCTAAAAATAATAAAAGAATTTGTTCTACCTTCTAAACGAATTACCGAATATTCTACGCGATATTTCTTATTTTATAGATAATATATACAAAAAATTTACAAAATAAATAATTTAAATCATCAAAACGGACATATGTTGCATTACATGTCCCTTTTATTTTCTCAAATTCATATTTGAACTTGAAAGAAACTAGCCCCCTTTAGAAATTAGCTATTTTAATCGATTTTTTAACTTTTTACAAAAATAAATACAGAAAGTAAGGCTGCAAACAAGTCGAGTCAAGCTTTGCCGAATTTTAGTATGTTTGGACTTGTTTATTAAGATTTTAACAAATTTGAATTCGAGCTCGAACTCAATAAAAATTTAACGAACCGAGCTCGAGCTGAGTTGGCTTAAGCTTGACTCAAACTCGAGCTCGAGCTTGAGCCTATTCACGAGCCTTAACGAGCCAAAAAATTTATAAATTCATACTTGTGTATGAGACTAAAGTTACAATAAAAACTTTGATTATACAATTATACAAACAATATATATAAACATTCTAAAAAAAATTTAATATTTTATCAAAATAATAATATTTATTACCACTATTATATAAATGTACTATCTATTGGTAATGTAACGCCCCCAAAATAATACAATAAACCTATCTATCATGCAGAAGAATATAACAGAAATAGAATACTTTCATTCATCAGAGTTTACTATTTAACAACCAGTTAAATGTCATGTAGGTTTACATCTTCCCAAGTCATTGCTTGGTTGCACAAAGTGAGTCTCGCTCATTACATCTTAAGCACTTAACTTTACAAATAACAATCATACGAATAACAAAACATAATCAATAAGCTCTTGCTTCCCAAAAGTTCTCCCGTGCTACTACCTTGGCGGAAGCATATCACTTGCACCTGAAAATGGTATTCCCATATAGGGTGAGTCACAGCCCAGTAGAAATAATCTAACACAATATATGAGATTTAGCAAATGTATAAGTACCATATGCATAAACAATGCCAGTACCAAACTATCCACAAACTTGAATGTTCATATCATGCTAAGTTGTTCACACCTTAATCCATTTTCATTCAATTCAATTTCAGTTTAGCTATACTTCTCAATTCATTAGTCAAATTCATTATCTATCAATAACCAAACTGAGACTACAACTCAATGATTTTTCCCCAATCATACAAAACACATATAAACACTTCTATCTGCCATTTTACGGATATTTTCATCCGCAGGAATCGGCACCCATATATATATATGATTTCGGATTTTTCACCCAAGACACTCTGGCCAACTTACTTTCAGTGGAGTCCATCCCCTTTCTCCTCCCAAATAAACATACATATACAATGTATTTATAAACATAGTCATATGCAATGACAACCAACATTTGAATAGCATTAAATCGCCTAATCCTCATACAATTTCTACAACAATCATAATTATCCTCCACCGATAGCCCAATACATTTATCTCTAACCAGATATTCAATCTCAAGATAAATAGTTTATTCATAACTTCCAAAAGTGTAAGATAATACATATCTAATTTCACCATCTATACCTATAACCTTCCAATTTCACATTTCAATATTAATCCCAATTATTTATACAAAATAATAATTTAATTAAAATTAGGGCAAAATCTTCCTTTTTCCAATTATCAACCCAAACACCAAAATCAATTATTTTGACACAACATGATCTTATATTCAAGTCTCATACTCATTTACCTCATATTCATCAAATACCCTTCTTTTCATTTCACACTCAAATCCTAGATTTGTCCAAATCACAACCAAATCTCATCATCTATACACAATAGCAAATAACTAAGCTAAAAACCATATTAGAGTGTAGAAAATCTCTACCTCAAGCTTAGAAAAGAAGATGAGGAAAACAAGGTTGAAAATCCAAAGATGTCGAAACCAACTTTTACTTGGATCAAAACGAAACTCTTGACAAGCTCTACACTTAATCTCAAAGGAGCAAGGCAATGAGATGCTTCCAAGAGAGTAGACCTAAAGATTTTTTAGCAAAAAGTGATTTTGGAGAGGGAGAGAGTGACTCACGGCTTGGAGAAGGAAAAAGAGAAGTAAAAAAAAGATTAAGTGAGGGACCTATTTATAGTGCTAAGTCATAATGAAATAAAGTCCCAAAGTCAACCCAAAGGATGTCCCCAAAAAGTAGGCCCAAAATCGGACTAAAATCTGAAAAAAAAAATGTCTGCAGGGATCAACCATATGAAGAAACTTATGTTTGACAGCATGCAAGGGGGTCGACCCTATTTTCTAACAATTAACATACAGACAAAAGAGGGTCAACCCTCCCCAGACTAGTGTCTACTCTATTTTCCAGCAACACTTCCAGAAAACTTCACCAACAGGTAATGGTCGACTCTTAGGAAGGCTAGTGTCGACCCTAGAATATAATTTATAAGTCTACAAGGAACTTTTGACAAGAATAAGTACGAACAACCAAACCCAACAAGTTTAAATCGAATTATATTTCTTCAAAATCAACCCATAACAACACCAAGGATTTCCAAAATAAAAATAAAGGATTCGAATACACTTTCCAAAAGCTTTGAAGGACATAAGTGTTACAGGTAACTATTATTTACATTTATATTTTTTAAATATATAAATAACATACTTATCTTATTTTTTATACATATTTTTACATTATTTAATATATAAATGATAAATATTAAATGAGTCAGCTAATGAGCCGAATTTTAGAATGTTTGGGTTTGTTTATTAAAAATTTAATGACCTCAAGTTCGAGCTCAAATGCAAAAAAAAATTAACAAATCGAGTTCGAATGAGCTCTTACCGAGCCGAGCTCGAGCTCGAGTCTGTTCATGAATGACTCTATTCATATGATTTTTTTGACTATAAACCTAACTTCCCAAATAAGTCACGTTACTAATATAGTTTAATAACTAGAATGACATATCAAATAATAATGGGATATAATAATCGCCCGACCTGGTCCATCCGGGCTTAGGCTCGGGCCAATCCATGGGCCGAAAAGTAGGACCCAGACCCAAGCCTAATCCTACTCATAATAGAGCCGATGGCCTGGACTCGGGCCGCAGGCCAAGCCTAGTCGAGCCTTTTTTTTTTTTTTTGAAAAAAATGAACGATAAATACATTATCTATGTAGATTATTTATTAGGGATAAAAAATAAAATAAAAATTATACTCGAGTATTTTATAGTTAAGATTAATGAGATATTTTGTTTGGTTATATTTCATGGTGGTATTTAAATTTAATTATGTATGACTTATGTTTTATTATTTATGAACTTATAACTAAAAAGTATGCAATTATGTAATTTTTTCTTTCAAAACGAATTATTTTATATATATGAAAATGAAACTTTCAATATTACAATATTAAATTAATTATATAACATTTATTGAATGGATAATTTTTATTTCAAAATGAAATAAAATATTACAAAAATTTATATCATCAAATAAAATATGTGTAGATTATTGATGATGGCAAAACAATTGTATCACTATAGGTCAAGTACATCCCAACTAGGTTGACACTTACTAACTTACCAATCATTTTCATTATACTCCACCTCAATAATCTAATACAAAAAAAAAAAAAGAAAATAAAAATGAAATGAAATGAAATAGTAGAAAACAAATTGTTGATCAATCATCGGAGAAGACAGACATTTCAGTTGCGTTACCGAGAATATGTCATCCAAATCATTTTGAATTCAATCATTTTCACTATAATTTTGTCTTTTCGTAAGTGCATGCATATGATCTCCGAATATCGTCAGTGTCTCAACCATTTTGGGTGAAAGCCTGTTACGGTAATTGCTCAACACTCATCTACCTGCATTAAAAGCTGTTTCCGAAGCAACTGTAGAAATAAGAACGGTTAGTATATCACGGGCTATTTGTAAAACCACAGGCCACATAGTTTCATTTTGTTTTCACCATTCCAAAATATCAAAATCATCGGAATCATCCATTGACAGGCTTTCCAAATAACGTTGTAGTTTAGAACTACTTATGTTTGTATGTTGAGATATTATTCTACTTTTTATTGTTAAAAAAATACTTAATCTCTCGCATCGAGATGAGACTGCTAGTGTAGTGTGTGTAGGTGTATTTATAGATGGAGCTGCCTGTAAACACCCTATTTTTGACTGCCCATAAGACTTGGACGCTTTGTCCTGTGCACTCGATGATGGGAGTTACATTGTATGTGATCCGAATGCTTAACGAAGGACTCCAGGGTCAAGCTTTGTACCAGTCCTAACACCTTTCTATTTACCTTGTTTATACTTCAAAGGTCCCTTTTTGAACATTGTGCCATCCTACACTAAGTTTGAAACAAATAAACATGGAAGCACATTGGTGCCCGGCCATGCCTCATTGGGAGTCGGCTGTGGCCATTTGAGGCCGGCCGTGCCTTGGTGGCGATAAACACTGTTCTGGGTGAGAGCACGCTAGCTGTCTATTTTTAAAGAAATTTTGACATATTTTGTTCAAATTCTATAAATACAAGCATATATGTCTGTTTTAAGGGTTGAACAATTTCCAAAGAACCTATACACTTATTTGAGAGCTCCTTCTTTTTGTGCAAGCCGTCTTTGAGCAAGCTTGCCATCTTTGACCTATATTTATACACCATACAAACCCTCAAACCCTAACCTTTGAGCCTTGGTTGAGCCTTGAGAATCACAATTTAAACTTAAGAGTGTATTTGGACCAAGTTTGATTCACAACAAGAGCTTATCCTCGTTAACAGGTATAAGCTTACTATCTTTTCTCTAGCTTTCATTTATGTCTCTTACTATCAATTTCTTGTATCTTTGTATTGTTTTGAATCCATTATAAGTGTTAGG